TACTTCACTTACAAGCTATAAATATGACACATTTGCTTTTAGAATTACCGCAATCAAACTTTATAAGTCTGCAACAAAATCTATAACAAAATATAAATAATCTACACCTAAGGACGGTTTTGTTAGAAAATGTAATTTATATCAAGTTTTCCCAGTTTCAACTAAACTTTAAAATACGAAACTTGTAAGGCTGTACTTAGAATCACTACCGGTTATTGAGAAAAGTTTGAACCGCTTTTATTAATAACCGATTTGAAGATACATGTGGAAAAAGATAGGGTATTTATAGATTTAATATGATTATAAAACTAAATTCTAGAGAAAGTTTGATATTTATTTATTTTACTATTATAGTATATAAGGGACAGGAATGTAATTCAGAACACCTAATATTAATTTAATTAAGGTCTCATCGTTTACACCACATTTCACACATTTAAAAAAATATAGGTGCCCGTATTTTATTTTCCTCATTCAAAGTGAAAAATGGGGTGTTACATACTCCAATAAAATATATTATAAGTCGGCTTCTATTTACTGGCTCGCTAAAGCCTTATTACTATAAAGGAGGGTTATGATTAAGACCTATTTGTATAAAAATGTTCATCTGTTCCCTTATAACTTTAAAACTACTATAGGCTATGTGACGTTACATTAATTTGGCAATAGCGCCCTCTAGAGGGCATAAAGTAAGAAACTGAAAAAATATATTATTCGATCATTCCTTGTAGGGTATCGAATGAAAGGCCTTAATTACATATTTTAAATACACATATATTGATAGCTTTTGCTTAAATACACCTGAAATATAATTATATAAAAAAATAATTTTAAGAACTAAAACCCGACTACAGCTAAATCACGCTCTAAAAAGTTTGAAACAAAATTTTATTTTATATCGATAGCTATATTATAAAAGCGATTACCAAAGAACAGCGTAGTCGTATGCCATAACTGTTTGTAAGATCTTGTCTGGTTTTAATTTTAGAACTTACTTTTTAGCTTTTATTGTTATAGGATTGGGGTTTATAGCATCATATTCATGTAGATATAAAATAGTATAATATGATTTAATGGTTATGTAGATCAGTTTTTTATCACAATGCTATACTGCTAAATATCTATAATGAAAAATGCCAACAAATATCACCAGCCCCAGTATTCCTCATAAATCTCGGGGCTATTTGGACTGGTGAAATTTTTAAAGCACTTTTTATAAAATATAATATAATCGTTTGATAAATATTCTTTTGTCATCCAAATATGATTCAGAACAAACGGATTACGAGGAAAATTTTAATTCCAACTTTGAATTTTCATGTAAACTCGATGAGCTTTGCGAGCAAATTTAAATTTCCAATCTCCAAAGGGCTCTTGTTTACGATATTCAAATAATATTAGTTCGTCATTCACCCCGGTTCTGTTTCAATTAACATCTAAATTAAACTAATTTCTACATAACTATGAGGTTTATTGTTTGTGACAATAAGTGATTGTTGTAACTCTGATATATTATGAGAAGTAATTAGATATATATTTCGGATGTAACATGAAAACAGCAACTTTGCTCTACCGTAACTTCCAAACGACGACAGTTAAATAGATAATTTAAATAATAAACAGAGGATAAATAGGAGCTTGATTGCGCAGTGCGATTCGTTTTTATTTAGATTTATAACGGGTTCACTTTTGACCTCAATCTAGCCCAAGGACATAAATGAGATCTACGGTGGGACAGTTTGTCCAGAAGGAATCTATTCACTCTTACCTTAAATAGGTCTGGGTTATATGGACTCGGAAATATAGACGTTGGCGGGGAATTTCATTCCTTGGCAGTTCGCAATAAAAAGATGAAAAGTAGCTCTTTGTCCATAGTAGATTATCAAGATGCGGCATCTTGGATAATCTACCAAATGGGGTGGTATCCCGCCGTGCGTATTAATGAGCTCATACAATTGCCGAGCACATTCGCCGTAGTTAGTTCTACAAAAGACGGATAGGTAGGCAACATTAAGCCTAAGGCCCAGGCTGCGCAGCTTGGACTCCACTAGTTTTTCGTCGCCAATGAGTTTCTTGGCTCTGCATTCTACCGAGTCTAGTGCGGCATGGTGATACTTAGCTGAGCCACCCCACAAGTTATGAAGCAACTTTCGCAATAACCGGTCATAGGATGGGTGACGAAAAATTTTAATATCTCGAGCTTCACGGGAAAGCACGTTAAGCCATTGGTCCCATCTGCATCTGTAGTTGTTAATACCCACTAATCCGCATAGTGAGTGATAGCCCATTCTCCGTATTCTATTTGAGTCTATTCCTTCCACAGGGATGCTTAAGCTCCAGTTGTGGGGACATTAATAGGCCCTCGATGATGATTAATAAACGATTATTTTGATCCAAACAAAAGCTACTTATAAAGATATTGTTTTCGTAATGTACACATGACTGATCGGCAGTTTACCACAATATGTCAAATTTACGAAAGTTTAAAAAGTTTATACAGTTTCCAATAAAAAGAGGCGAGGAAAGAATGTTTAAATGTAACTATATTTATTTGTTCTATGAAAAATAGATTTCTTACAATCGATTATACAGGTCTTAGGGCGAACTGCTGAGAAATTATTTCTGCTATAATTTAGATGTATTAAGGTTATGACACATTTCTTAGATTTTAGAACACGATGCGAAACAAATTACAAATTCAGTGTTAAAAGATACTACCACTAGAGATAAAATATATTACAACAATTCTATTGCTCTCAGGCTACGTTCTGGTATGTTTATATACGGTAGATTCTATTACCTCGCCATACGAGAGGTAGTATTCTAGAGAACCCATTTGAAATCCACAGCCATTCGATCAAGTCATAAGAGACGGCCAAAACACTTTCTTTTAAAATATTTTAAACTTTAACGGTTAAATGAAGTTTCATAAATCATTTAAATATGAAACGATGTCAATATTGGTTTCTTTCCCAAAATAACTATATAACCAAAAATAAGCGTAGAACCTTTTGTAAATTAATATTAATTATAATTTTCACTCATCACTAAAGACTGAGAGATACCTACTCTATAATTCGTAATAATGAGATTGTTAATAATGTGAATTTTAAATAATTATTTGAACGGAATAAATCATAAAAGAAAATAAAATGTACCATAAAATTTGATGCAATTTCACTGCACAATTATCGTGGAAAATATTAAAAAACAAAAGAAGCCCTTTAAATGGGCAGCTTACAAGTAATGCAATATTATAATAACGATATCCAATTTTCAACATGCTCATTTCAAATTCATGCTCTCGTACAGAATAAAAACATACAAAAACAATATGGCAACTCCTTATTGGTCGTAACCGCTCGTGAATTGTACCAAATCGCCACTCGTACTGTCATAATCATAAAGAATAGAGATAAAAATGCTGCATCAGGAACGAGGTTGAAAGGAACACTGGAGAATAAAGTAATTTTATGTTGGCCTGGATTACGAGAACCATTTACGATTTGTGAGTGCGTAGATATGGAATCGGTATCGAAATAAGAATTATTGAGAACTTCCGAGTGAATAGAGAATGGTTACGCTGTCAGAATACGTATGTTATTATGGTTATAGAAATGGAAAATGAAAAAAGAAATTGATGTAAAACATTTCTAATTAAATGCAGTATACTGCAGTTGTTATAAGACTACTGATTTAGTTTAGAATACTAAATACATGTAAACAATATTACTATTCTAATAAGTATGGTAATAATTTCTAGGTGCCTTTAATTATTAAAACTATATACTATCCTTTTTTATGCTGTTACTCCTGATGCGAGCACTATTATTGTACTTTAACAGGAAGCTTCAAACACCTATGCGATAGACTTATTCATACCCGATTCCATATTAACCTATAAGTTATAATTCCGGCTAATCTTATATATATATATATATATATATACCTTAACCTCAAACTTCTAAGCCAACACAATCAAAAGACAACCGTTAATGACACAAATTTTCGAAACTCGCAAAAGAATCAAAACTTACAGGATACTTCCCGTGACCTCTTCTTCTCTTGAGAATCTTGAAATTTGGTACGAAGCAACGTCTACAGATAAAGCACAGATAAAGAAAAAAATATGCAATCCGTAAATTTTTATGATTATTTTTGAATTTTACTTTTTATTTACGGAACTCTAGGCGAGCGATTCCGACTCGTACTTGGCAGTTTTTTTTACAGATATTTGATTCCTTATTATATTGAATCATCTTTTCTGTTAATATAGTTATTAAGATATCATAGTTGTATGAATCCAATTCGTTATTAATCTCGAGCGCTTAGCGGATAACCGCCGCGGCCCGCGATCGTTGTTATTAAGCAACTTTTGCAAGGGTCGGTGTCGCGTTAAGTGACCAAAAATTATTATCTCTAGCTACGCTGTGCTTGGGTAGGCACGCTAAGCTATTGGTACCGGTGGCATTTGCAGAGGTTAATACCCTCCATGCGTCTATCTATGTGTCTAACTATCCATAAAGAAGGTCTGAGTCCCTGCACTAGAGATGTACTGATGATGATAATTAAATATTTCTTTTTCTGATTTTTAGTCGAAATAACTGGCTACAGCGCTGACAACTGCTCAGTTTCATACACCTCATTCAACAATGAGACACTTGTTGGTTCTGTGATTCGATCCGCTAGTGTACTTGTGCTACCCGAGGGATTGCACAGGACTGACACACAGAGCGCTTACTTCTGTGCTAATGGTAAGGAGATATGGTCTCTATTCCCTCTTTATATCATCACACTTTATTAACTGTTAAGTATCATGCCAAAAGCCGTCATTTTTAATTTCATGTGTTATTCTAGATCCAAGATCTTTAATATCCTTCTAAAAAATAAATGCAATTCAAATGTTATCGAAAATATTTTACATATTTACAGAACATTTAGCTGTATCATCACGTGGTTCTTGGGAATGGCAATGGGTGGCAGCTCCGCGAAACAGAGCTGGGCTTGTTTTAGAGTTGAAAGCTCAAGGTGCAGCACACGTGGCTCTTTCCGCCATAAGGGAACCGTCAGACGACATGTACCGAGTTGTTTTCGAAAGGAGCAGGGTATGGATTGCCAAAGGAAAACATGGTGAGAAGAACGTTCAAAAATATTCCGTTTAAAAAATTTACAATAAAATCTTAAGTCATATTTCCTCATTTTGCCCAATGTTATTTAATTAAAAGTGCCTTATTATATCACATTAAATTACAGGTTATGATGTACATTTAGCAAGTGCAGAGCAAACAGAAAGTGACGATGAATGCTCTGGAGCAGAATCTTGGTGTGCATGGTGGGTGTGGTGGGAAGGAGGACGGCTATCTGTAGGTCGTGGTGCAGTGCCATCAGAAAGAAGATTGCTAGTATGGCCACTTGCTGCTGATATGAGGATTAAATACGTTGGCTTCAGTGCTCTGTGGGGAGATAAAGCTGATTTCAGGTAAGAGAAGTTATCTGAAGAGATATAATTATGATAATCGGCATGATTAATTAGATGTAGATAGTAACAATGCCTTCAATGAGCCCAATTTCTATATCTCCTCACGTAATACTGTTGTAATATTTCTTACATAATGTATAGACCTAAACCTAAATCTTCAGTTCACATGTATCATGCGATGTTAATATTCCCAGAAAGATATAAATAAATAAACAGAATTCAAGGCCATCATCTTGACTTATGAAATTTCGTGATTTAACATAAACATATAATTTATGCTTTTACTTTAAAGGATTTGGAATTTCAACGAAGAAGCCGGTTTCTCTCAAGTTCTTGAACTGGGTTTACCGCGAGGTGTAGTTCCAGGATCAGCGAGTGGATCTCTTCTAGTATCTGGTGGGCTGCATTTACCACTTTACAATCTGCAAAGTGACTCCACAGAACAATGGACTGAAGTTTGGAGGGATTCCCAATTATCAGCTGCCTCTGCTAGCTTAGCACCTTTATTAGCATTGGAGCATATACCCCACTTAGTAGAAGATTCTGAGAGAGAGAAGATTTTGAAGAAATTGCCGGAGCAGGTAAGTAATTTAACATTTCTATTTTTATCGTTGCGAACACTTTTAAAACATTTTCGGATTTTGTCGTTGACCAATTTTTTATCCATATAATATTGAATGCTTTATAGTCAAAGCGAAACCTGAAGGTTTAGCAACTACTCAACACTTAGTAACAAAATCTTCAAGATTATTGATTCAAAATTAAAGTAATTGATTTTTTATCAGGTACAAGTACTGCTATCATTTCGTAAGAGCGATAACTCATTCAGCGATCATCCGGCAATGAGCAGTCACCTATCTACCGTTAGAATCCTTGAGATACTCTCCAAAATTCAGTCTTATTATCCTGTAGACCCAGATCTTTTACAAAATATTAAAAAATGGATTCAATCAAGACAAGGTCAGGATGGATCATTTACTCCTCTACCAGCTGATAAAGAAGTCGATTACTATCCTCTTGATATGAAGAAAAACAATTTCACACAAAAAGAGGTTGATGTAAATGAGTATTATTATTATGACAAAAATGGCAATATGACTCAAAGTGAAATAGATTGGGAGCGAACTGTGGAAGTAACAGCGGAGACTTTAGTTGCCTTACTTGAAGTTGGTGTTGAGAATCAGGTATAGTGTTATGAAAGCATTATCATTATTCTTTTATTGTATGGTCTATATACCTTTAACTGATTATGATGGTGATATATTAGAGACACTAATTTAAGTGACAACTGTTTATTAAAAAAACAAATGTAATGGTATAAGTATTACATTGAACTGATGTGAAAGTACACATAAACGTACAATGATAGTTTGGAAGTAAAATCATAAAAGTCATTTGGTAACTTGATACACAAAGTCAACAGTGGACGTGAAAAATATTTTCTTTTGTTAGTCTTTTCACTATTTTTAAGAACCTCATTAATAACACCTCCATATATTTGCAGACAGACTATACAAAATAACGATAAAACCTTTTTAATTAGGGAATGTGGTTAAATATTTGTATTATTAATGTAGTTGAATCTTAAGTTAATTGTGTTCGTTGCATCATTCGGGCACTTATTAGTTTTGTTTTTATAAATATTTTCAGATGGATGCAAACACTGTGCAGAAAGCCCAGAATTTTCTTGAGAAGAACCTTTACAACTTGACTTCACCTGCAGCTCTTGCTGCGACTGTTTTAGCGCTAGTTCTTGCAAGGTAAATGATATTATATATTTTACTTGAAACTAAAAATAATTATCTAATAACAAAATTGCTGTCATTGGGAGGATTTTATAGAATATTTTATTAAATTTAAATTTGTACTTCACAACAAAACAGTTGTGTTTTTATAAAAAGATGTTCAACGTCAGTATTCTTGGAGCACATCTCGGAAAAAAACATGTCAACCTCTCTAAATTTATTTTTTCAGAAGTCCCACAGTGCCAGAAGCTCTAGTGATATTGAGAAATGCTTCTACGACTGAAGAAGGAGAATTTGGTTGGCCTGCGCCTAGGAAAGACGCTGCTGATTGGCTCCTAGAAGAAACATCAAGGAATATCAAGACAACTTCTTATGGTAAGAAAAATATTAATTTCTCGTTATGAAAGACTAGCTATAGTCAGTGCCAGATAAACGTGCAATAAAGGTCATTCACCTCCTCTGTACCAATGTACTCTAATATTATGGACAAAATGAACAAATCGTATGGATACTATCGCTAAAAGTGACTAATTAGACGTATCGTGGTACAGGACAGTCCTTGAATTCCGAGTTTGACATATATCATAAACCTTTTTTTCACGTAGTAGTTTATAAATGCCGATGATGCAAGTTAATCATATAAAATATGCAAGTTCATGAAACTTATGGGGAATACAATATTACTGATCTCATTTATTTTTTCCGAGTTTTTAGCCCAAAGGGATACGTGGAATAGGGGCAATGAAATACGAAATAGTTTTTAAATAGTACACATTTATTTACATTACATAGCTACATAAAAGATGCTATTTCATATATTTATAGTTTGCCACTTTACAGTGCGTTGTGCGTTTTACATCAGTTGTTTCGAAACACCATGGATCATGTCAAATACTACTATAATAATAGAAAAACAAAAATATTTCATGCATTGTCTTTATTTCAAAATATTATTTTATAACAAATTATAAAAAGAACGTCTATATCATCATTTGATTTATTTTTTGAAGAATTTTATCCAACGTTGGCAGCGTACCTTAAAATTGAGATATCATTATTTATACTTTAAAGAATCACTCGTAAATCGGTGTTTAAAAATGTAATTAATAAAATTTAAACCAATAATATAAATAAGTAGGTAGATCTTAATTAAAATACATTAAGTAATATCTGATATTATTTTACCTTCCATGAAAAAGCTATGGACTTTTTGCCTTATAGCTGTTTTTTCAAAGCTATCCAGTATGTCTATAACATTCAGCTTCTTTTTTTGTGGTGCCTTTTGGTTCAAATGTGTGAGTGTCTTTGTACTCCCGTAAAATTCCATAAATGGATCTTACACTCACTCCGTTAATTTCAGCTGTCTTAGCTACCATAGTCTGATTTGATTGGTTTTCTGTTTCTGGCCAAGTATTTTTAACATATTTATAGATGTTTGTGATCAATTGTTTTTCGCCGATTGACAAAGTTGTCGGCTTTCTCTTTTTTATCGGAGAATTAAGAGGTGTTAAGGAAGATGAACCTGAAACGAAAATATAATTATTATACCTATAGGAATGGTCAGCCGTAGGGAGAAGATATAATAATAGTAGAAAACAAAAACATTTCATGCATTGTCTCTATTTCAAAATATTATTTTGTAACAAATTATAAAAAGAACGTCTATATCATCATTTGATTAGGAAATGAATGCATCTGTATCTGATGTTTCAGTTTCAGAACTTTCAAAACTGGAGACATTTATAATAAAATTATCCACAGTTCTGTCTATATGATGATCCAGTCCCCTCATCTTTACCTCTTCTTTTTTTACGTGCTCGACACAATTCCTCCATTTATCGGGAGTCATTTGTTTTATTGCATCGTTAAATAACACTTTTACATCCGACAGTTTGAATGTGATATTGTGTCGAGCAACATATCCTTTTAAGTCGGCCCACACAAACTCTATCGGATTGAGCTCACAATGGTATGGAGGCAACCGTAAAACTGTTACCCCCGCCTCTTTTGCCATCTCATCGGTAACATATTTTAAATAATTTTCTTTGACCGATTGAACTATTATAAGCAAATGTGCTTTAGTATCACTTTCGTTGAAAGAAATGTTTTTTTAATTCAACCAATCTATAATTTCTTGTTTTCTCCAAGATGATGTGGGTGTTTTTTCAATTCGTCTGAAACAAAATTACGAATTCAAAATAAATAGTTTGGTATGCTGTGTGATTTTTTGAGTCTGTATTTTACGTATAATGGAATTTTATAGATACCTGGAATGATAACTGGCATTATCCATGACTATAACGTCATTAGGCTGTAATTTATTAACAACCCCCTCAAACCATTTCTCAAAATTTGCTGCATCCATTGTTTCATGGTAATCACCAGTTTTTCCACATTCAAACACCCACTCGCATTCCTCTAAAAATCCATTTTCATTGCCTACGTGCACAACAATTAAACGTTTTCCTTTTCCTTTAGGTTGTTTGGCCCCAGTTGACACACCCTCAATAAACGCTTGATGCGTTGAAGTTACCGTTGTATCGGTCCATGTTTTTGTAACAGTGTGTCCTAAAACAATAGAAAATAAATAAATACACGCAAAAATTTTAAGTATGTCAAATGAATCATATCATAACAGAACCATATCTTTACCTACATTAATCCAAGTTTCATCCAAGTAATAAATATTGCGATTTTCATGTCGAAATTTTTCTATTTCTTTTAAATACTTTGTTCGCCAAATAACTATCTCCGGACGTTCTATTAATATGCTTTTTCGTTGATGTTTTTGAAATTTAAATTTCAAATGTTTTAAAACTCGTCTTAAAGATGTTTTGCTTAAATTTGGCAAAGTGCTATCTTCATTTATTTTTTGAAGAATTTTATCCAACGTTGGCAGCGTACCTTAAAATTGAGATATCATTATTTATACTTAAAAGAATCACTCATAAATCGGTGTTTAAAAATGATTTAAACCAATAATATAAATAAGTAGGTAGATCTTAATTAAAATACATTAAGTAATATCTGAAATTATTTTACCTTCCATGAAAAAGCTATGGACTTTTTGCCTTATAGCTGTTTTTTCAAAGCTATCCAGTTTGTCTATAACATTCAGCTTCTTTTTTGTGGTACCTTTTGGTTCAAATATGTGAGTGTCTTTGTACTCCCGTAAAATTCCATAAATGGATCTTACACTCACTCCGCTAATTTCAGCTGTCTTAGCTACCATAGCCTGATTTGATTGGTATTCTGTTTCTGACCAAGTATTTTTAACATATTTATAGATGTTTGTGATCAATTGTTTTTCGCCGATTGACAAAGTTGTCGGCTTTCTCTTTTTTATCGGAGAATTAAGGGGTATTGACGAAGATGGACCTGAAACGAAAATATATTTTTTAAACCTACCCCGTTTAGGAATGGTCAGCCGTAGGGAGAAGAAAGGGCAAATTTGTTGAGAAAGGCTTCTACTTCGAAAAGGAGAATGCCAAAATACGGCTTGTCGCCGACAGTAAATTCATTATCATTGCAACTTATATTTTATAATACTTTAAATTGTCAACTATTAATAGATTTAAAAAAAGCACACCGTTACGAGTAATTTTCGTAAAGTTAATCAACGACTATTACATGAAAAGTACGCCATTTACAAAAAAATTGCCAGTAAAAAGTTAAAATGACTAATCTATCGAAAATCGATAATCGTTATGAATTAATCAATAGTTATGAAAGTGAATAAAAACACAATAAATACGCCATGTTATAATATTTTTCTCTTTGGTACTGCACAAAAACATTTTCCTATTTTTTTACATAACTGTAATCAGTAAAGATATAATAATCATAGTATAACATATAATTGATTATTAATTAACAATCGATATTAATCGATTGAAAACAATTTAACGTCCAATAATGGCAACACTTTTTTTAATTGTCATAGTCAAAAATAAACATTACATTTGCGGTACAATTCGTTCGCTTTGTTCTTCAGTGCTTTCTGTTGTTTTCGTTTTTATTCTATCTCAAAGAGTAGTATTTCTATCTATTTACCCAGCTTCGAACTTGAATCTGAAACTTCTTAATTATTGACCCGGCTTTTAACTATGACCAGAATCAGTTTTACATGTTGACTCGGCTTTTAACTTGGACTGAACCTGTTATTCTCGTCGACTCGGCTTATTCTCACGGATTTGGAATCATGCTGCGATGTATCAACTGTGGCCTGAATGTCACTCGAATTAGAATTAGACACTCAACAGAGTATTTGTCTGTAAACATCCGAGATGAAATCCAACAAGGAAATTCTCCGTCAGATGTAAGTATTTCAATGTATGTACGACTAAAATGCTGTGGGTATTTACATATCAACATAGATCACTGAAAACATTAATATCAACCCTTACATTTTACCTACAGATACCAAGCAACAGTGTGGTGTGTCATGAGTGTTGGTTGTTACTATAAATTAAGTTCCTGAAATAAGTCAATCATGTATTGGTAATGAAAATGTATGTATACATTGTGGAAGATCTTTAATATTGTATGAGAACTTGTATGTTAAACAACAATACTGACAAAAGATTTGTTGTTGTGAAAAGGATTATGCCACAACAAGTAAGTAGAAACAACATTCATTTAATTATAATAAATAAGTTAAAGTAATAATAATAAGTCAATTATTTGACAATTATAATTTACCATTATATTATGCTTTGTATGGAATACAACACATCTAAACAAACCGAGCATGTAATTAACTATAGATAGTATTTTAAAACTAATGGGATGGTGTCTGTAAACCAAACCCAAATGATGATCTCTATATTCTATGTGTTCCATATTTATGTATTCTATGTATTATTTAGTTGTCATAGTATGAGCATTCTTAGTTTTCCACTAAATAATTGTTGTGAGTTGTCACGAATATTATGTATTTCGATTTTAATTGGGTTTTTACCTGGCTCGAAATTAAAATCTAAACTATATTTTATCTATAATAAATGCTATAAACATTGAAAGAAATGATTATGTAACAATATTTCTAATGATTTTATTTCTTTTCAGCTCCAGTCATCAGACAGAATTTGTCACCCTTGTTGGCAAAGGTGTAATAGTTTATCTGTAAATTATACTGCACCATCTTCATCATTTGCAAGTTCTGCATCAAGTGTTCCAGATACATATTCTCAAGAATTGCCAATTCATGAGCTGGAGCACTCTAATGATGATAACATTATATCAGTCTCGAATTCCGGGGAAAATACTTGCAAGTGTACCTACAATAATTTTGGTGGGGCGTAGAACTATATGTTGCTGTGCTCACATAATGACGATCATTTGGTATTTAGGATGGGCTAGATATCAGTCAAATATGGAAGCCAGCACAATTTTTAGATAAGTTTTTACAACAAAAAATTGATACAACTGATAATAAAAAATATTAATCTTTACATGTTTTTTAATTTACAGATCCTTTTTTATGCCTTAAAAGGTTTCGTCCTTTACCTAATATCCATAAATGTATATAAATATGCTGTTTTAATGAAAAACTATGTAGAAAAATGTTGAAAAAAACAAAAACTTTTTTGAATATAACTTTTTTTGGTGAACTTTTATTAAAGATATAATGTGCATATAATTTTCTATATTTTTTGCCCTTTCTTATGGTGTATCACTCATGTCTGTCGGTTCTGGCCGAAGTTTCTATGGAAGCTTGGCATTGTCCTTTGGCTTACAATATTAGATAAGAACATTTAGGTCGCCTTTAGTAATATGTACACAACTTTTTATCTATATAGATTCTGGTAATTCTGGTTACCTAGAAATATTTTGTTTTGAAGATTCAAGCAACGACGACTTGTGCATAATATACAAATTCTATAATCGTAAGGAATTTATCCAATAATATTGCTATGATAAATATGTATTTTAAGACTTATTTTTAAACGGCTGTTAAAATTTGTTTGAAAATAAATAAATTTGAATAATAATATACTAACCTGCTTGAGGTTCCAAGATTCTCTTTCGACGCCTTGGTTGCTTTTTCCTTGCCTCACTCATTCTCACTTCTTCACTCATTTATAACAATTAACAAAGCAAAACAACGGTTAATAATCTACAAACTAATAACAAAAACAAAGATTTAACAAAAATAACGATGAACGCAAACGATACACGTGGTGTGCAAATGCAAGACCAAATCGGACTACAAACAAATAATGCATCTGCATTTTTTAAATGGCGGCGGCCACAGGTGACGCACCTCTGACTCACTGTGACGTCATTCTAAGGCAACGACGCAACGTCGTAACTTAAAATACCTTATAACTGAGTTCGAAAATAAAGTTAAATTAAAATGTTTTATTATGACACAATTTAGTACACTGAATTAGTATATTTATTAAATCCATTTATTTAATGACTTACCATATAGTTTTATAAAAAAATAAAATGTTAAAAACACGAAAATGGGGGAAAAAAATAATTACGCCGAAAACATATTTTTCGTATACAAGCAATAAAACTATTGACTTTAATTGTCTTAGTGATAAAAAAAGGATTAAAAAAATGATGCGATTATTCATGCTCAATTTTGTTTAATTTTTAAGTTACTCGTTTTAAACGATGGGATGGTACTATGTATGTATTATGAAACCGGGCCGAACACCCATTTAGCGACAGTTTTGTACGAGAAGCGATCGGAATCGCTTAATTTGTTGACTTCGTGGTACAAGTGGGTTGAATGACCTTTATTGCACGTTTATTTGGCACGGACTATAGTAATATTATTGGTAAAAAACATAAAACTCATAATCATAAAAAAGCGGCACTGGTTATAATAATTCTGAATCTGGTTAATGAAGACCTTGTCTTCAATGTCAGACAAAATCCTTAATGTTTCAACATTATACCAAGTATATGTTTCTTTATTAAGTACTGTTAGAGGGAAAATATCGACTAATACTGGAAGTACTAATTGTTGATTTTACTACGGCAGGGGTCGGCAACCTGCGGCTCGCGAGCCACATGCGACTCTTTGGAGGGGAAGCTGCGGCTCTTTAATTCCGAACACAAACATTATTTATTTTATATAAAAAAAAAACATTTTAAAACTTTCTGAAACGATTAACAAAGATTCAGCACCACCTCTATCTCTCAGCCACATAGTCTTTGCTTGTACCAGATATTCACGACACCCCACGACCGCGCCCGACTTTTTTATGAAAAAAACTACTCATATATGAATAAATAAATATTATTTTGTCTTATAAATAAACAGATTAAAATTACTTTATTTATGCAAGTACTATTTATTGTGATTGAATCACCATGATTGACCGAAAGTAGTTGATTCCGTGCATCGGGGCGGCACGTTAATCCGTCGGTCCTGCGCCTGATCTCTCACCGGTCGTGTCGGTCAACCGTTCCATCGGATATAGAGAGTGGAAGGAAGAGAGAGTGAACTCTAAGAATGCGAAACCTAGTTGGTCACAATAAGCAAAGTCCTGCGCAGTAAGTCGATGTGAGTGAGAGTAGGACTACATTACTTATTTATTGTAGGCATAAAAACATCTTGTGGCTCTTTAAAAACTAAAAAATGTTGTAAATTGTAACTTTTGGCTCTTTTGACTCAAAAGGTTGCCGACCCCTGTACTACGGGCATCTCTATCTGTCAGTTAGCTGTCATTGTCGTTTGACTTTGACATTTAATCAGTTTCGCGCCAATATATTTCCGGGGTGTCATTCTTGTATAAATATTGGAGCCAACCGTTTTAAATATATCAATTGATTAGTAAAATGTCTTTCAGTAAAAATAATCATTTCAGTCAATGATGTATTAAAAAGTTTAGATGGATTATCAGCGCACAAGACTGACAACAAGAAAGCAAGTCAATTGCCTGAGTTTCACTTTAATAACGTTTCAGAAAGCGTTTTGCCTAATGCCATTTTCACTCGTAATTTTCTGTGATAAGTTGTAGAAAAAATGCCTTCCTACGTGTTTAAACAATGCAAAAATAACACATTAAAATAACTCTTTTTTATTCATAATAAAAACGTCATTGGACGCGGCCATTTTGTTCTACGACTAGGGGAGATCGGATTTTACACATAAAGCTAAGCAAGTATGTTTATCTCGTTCTAACAAGACGTATACTGTATGTATCTAATAAGGAGATAACTATTTTTGGGACTTAGCGCCCTTTGCGGTTGTATTATAATGTAATGCTACCGCAATAAAGTTAACGCCATTTCAAACGCAATAATATACGGGTATTACGTGTCCAATGATAATACGTTATTGTATTCAGTTGATTAATTTGCAGAAGCTGTAACAATGGAGCAGTATGTGGCGGGCGTGCGTGTGTTACTCGCGGCATGTGCTCGAGGTGCGCTGGCAGAGGGCGAGGCAGCGGCACGGTTCCTGTACTACCGCGCGTCCACGCTGCAGCGGCATCCGAGCCTCGCGTATACCGCGACCAAGGCGGCGGCTCAGTACGCGGCGCTAGCACACGACAGGTCAGACTGTACACACCCCGGCTAATACTTTAATCACTTAGGCCTCCTAAAGGCTGGTGTCCTACAAGTGAAAATGCAGGTTTTGTTATAAGTTCGGAATTAAATTATATGACACTAAGTAATATGAAAAAGATTACGCTTTGAATACTTGAAAATAGTAGGAAAAATAAACTAGAAAAATTTACATATGGCATTAAATTAGTTATATAAAACGTTACAACTTGAATTATAACAGCTGTAAACATATATGTACAAATAACAGACATATTTTTCGCTTTTCGCAACCCTACCACTGTATGACATCACTTAGCGCCTTGACTTTGTATGGAGCGTTTTCAGCTGACTCGCAGCAGTTCCACAAACACAGCACCATATCACCAAAACTATTAATCGCAGACATGCAGTTACTTCTACATAATTTTTCAAATGTTAATGGACTATTTGTTTATAAAATAAAAATATAAACTTGTTTATTTTGCTAAGCTAATGTTTATAAATCGCATCTCGATATCAATCTCAACTATTTGCATTTTGCCATTACTGCTTGAAGTCCGATATTATAAGTACTATGTTTTCCTGTTGATAGAAATATATTGGACTTCAGATAGATAGCAAAATGACGAAATACTGTTGAGATTCATATTGAGTTGCGATTATTTAACATTAGTAGAATTGGCCTACTGTTACTGTAATACCGCGCCTCCATGCTACAACTCAAAATCAAAATCTTAATTCTCATTATTCAGATTGATAGCTTTACTACAACTCTTTTGGTTAGTCTAATTTTATTATAACTGTTATGCAAGATATCTTTTAAAAATTAATCACTCTCTTTCTTAGTTTATAAAAAACTGAATATTTTGGTAATCTTTTAATTTTGAATGATCGGAAGTGTCTTAAAGCAGAATCAAGTCAAGATAATAAAATAATAATTAATTGCCTATAAAAAAATAATTGCCTTTTATAGGAAAAAAAAAGATAGAATTAGCGAACGTTGCACGCCGTTCATCTTGATGCATTAGGTTTGGACAAGTTTGCTCTTTAAAGCTCAAAAAACTATTATTATTCAACAGTAATAATAATCAATCAACCGATGATCAATACGGGTTCTGGTTTCTTCAAACGCTTCACCAGTTTTGGGTACAAACCTAGCCAAACTTAATGCACTAAAAAGTACAGCGATAAAATAAGGAACAGTAACCTATATTTTTAATTCATATTTTTAGTTAGTATTACAACTATTGATTCTGCTTTTGAACGCAGACATAAATGTTTCAGAATATCCAAACAAGTTTTCGAAAAGTATGTAGGTTCTTTAAAATGTAGAGCAGAATAAATAAATCTTGATGGTTACGAGGTTGGTTTGAAAAGTTCTTGGTCTGACCGAGATTTGAAGGTACTATGTAAACTAATTAATTGTCATTCGACAGTTCGATTCTTTATTTAATCGTATGTCAAGTGCCACTATATCGAGATGAGGGGATAATATGTAGAAAAATAAAACAAATTTCTATTTTCTTTGTTTTCTTGGTCGGGCCGACAACTTTTCAAACTACATACCTACAAGAGACATCATTTAAATTTTTTGCCGTTTTTCTTGTTACAGGCATAGAGCACTTACTGTGTCTTTAGCAACGGCAGGAATGGAACTAACTGACACACTAGAACTAAGGGCTAGGACTCCACCGAGACCATTGCAGTTGCCGGGCCTACCTACTAAAGTATTTGTGTATGCTACTGGTGCTGGATGCGCTACTGTTCAGGTTTATATTTTTTATCATACCTACTCTCTAACTGTGCGAACTTCATGTCGACTTATCTCTGCTAATGAACCGATTAAAAAAGAATGGTACTGAAAATTACACCATACGCGGGTGACACGTGGCTATAATTTATACGAGCACAATTGTGGATAAATAAAACTGTTGCTCGCTGATTTGTGATTCACTGTGGGTTAAATTTCGAAGCGCGCCAATGAAAGTGAAATAAGATTCACTATAAACTTTAATCATATTTTCGATCATACATACGAAGGTTCACTATACGCTAAATTGAATAGAACTTACAGTAGCTTTAAATCGGTGAAATCTTTGCTCTATATAATATAATTTAAACGAATAACCTTTTTAATACTTAAAAAAAATCTAAAATCGAAGAATTGAAATCAAGATCTAATTAGTCCGTAAGACTTTTTTGATTATTAATAATTTCCCCTTTTAATATATTTCTATTTCCAGGGTACAATAATTTACTCCACGTATACACCAAAGCCAGAAAATGCCCTTCTAAACATTCAAGCTGCCATCATCGAAGAGATAAGGCCGGAAAGAAGTAGTATAGAAGAGCTACAAGGAAACCTACCCACCTTAATTATCAAAACTTGTTTCAAGTTAGTTTTACTGATGAATTATAATATGAGTAATAATCTAACCTGTCCATAAAAACATATATCAAGATAAATGGCATACTTGCCCAAACAGTTAATAATAGTCTACTGTCGTCATATTAAGATTTAAAATTAATTGAAAATAACTAACAGTATTATTTCATTTATACACGAATTCTTAAAAATAAAACTGCCAAATTGTACCATTCCAGGTGGAAAGGAAAGGAGCGATCAGGGATTTTACGGCTTGAATCGTCACTATTTTCTGGTTATGAACTTCATTCAGTTAACCCTGTGGTACTAGATGGTGCCACATTCGCTAACTTGCATTATGGTTCAAGAGGAGAATCTGTGTGGTTCGTCTTTGCTAATGTAAGTTATATAAAAATAATATTTTTTTCTACTAATATAATACTTCTAGTATGAGAGTAAAATTAACAAAAAAAATTTTTTTCCATTAGTTTTCTAATTCCATAAAAACGAATGCCTTTTTAATTTATTACAATTTACAGATCAGCTCCACCTGCCCCGTCTGTATTACTTACGAGGCCCGATCAAAATTCATAATCACCAGTCTTCGTCCAGCTTTTGCGAAAATCTATCCTTCAGCACGCCCAGACTTAGCTGTTGAAACATTCTTTCACGCGAGACCTGGAAGTCCACTGCTTAGAGGAATCACTGATGATGATTTCATCACCTGGTTTGATAAGACTGAACTTGCTAGTCTTCAAACTACAGCTAATATAGATAACATTTGTGAATGTGGTCGTATTTGCAGTAGAGATTACGAGTTTCGAAAATCTGATGCCAAACCTACTGAAGAAACTGCCACAACTACAACAAGTTCGACCCTATCTCCTGTTTCTATAACATTTGAAGATAATCTACAAACCACTGAGCATGTAGAAAATAAGACTACCACAGACAAAATAGCTACTGGTGGTTCGATAGTTACCACTCTTAATCCATCAGTAGTAACAGAGACAGTAACAGAGCATATAACTAACACACCAAATTCAAATGTACCTATCAGTACAGTTGAAGTTGTAGACGATCCAATTATAATACCAACTGCCAATTCTATGAATTTTACTAGTTCAATGAATCTATCCAATATTGAAAATAGTATTCCTATTATACCGAAACATAACGGGGAATTAATTATACAAAAAGTAATGATGACGAAATCATTTTTGAAAAAGGAAGAATTAAAGAAAACCCCTTTGCCTCGTAGAAAAGGTACTTTAAAAGCAACATATGGCGATAAATTGTTTGAAAAGGAAAAATCTACAAATACTTCAAGTATACACAATGCGATAGTGAATAAATTTGTTTCAAAAAATGTCACCAAACCAAAATCTATAAGAATGGAAAAATATTTCCATGGCAATACTAACATAGAATATAAACCTAATTACACTGCCAGTACTAATGAAACAAAAGCAAATACCACGTCAAAAATAGAAACGCCGACAGCAGTGATGCCAACAAAATCCAATAAAAATATAACACATCATGTAGAGACATCTACTGTGACTCATGCTATTGCTACTATTACAAATAGCAATATTAAAACTATGCATTATAGAACTAAAAAACCGAAACTAGTTACACAAATTAAAAAACCTCGTATAGAATCTAATCACACTGATAATATAACACATAACAATCAGACGAAATCAACAGAATACATAATTAATAAAACTAAAATAAATACTATCAATTCTGAAAAACGAACAGCGAAAACTTTGAAATCGATAAATAAAGAAATCCATAAAATACCATTAACGCCAATATCAGAAACATCAAAAACTCTATCTGAAACGGTGAAGTTGGATATTGCTCCAGAAAATAAAGGTGGTTTCGAAATATTGGAAAAAAATAATCTTTGGGACTTACTCAAGGAAGGTTCGGAATCTGATATAACTAAGATAGACGATAAATTACAAGTTCACAATAGATTGAACATTCTAACGCAAAATTTGTCGAACGTGACACGAAACGAGAATCGATCTTTATAAACTTTATTGTTATATATTTTATAAGACATAAAGACTCGGTAAATATTTTTGTAACAATCTCATGCCACTACCTATAATGAACAATGAACTTGTTAATATTAATAAACTAAGACCTGACACGGCATCTCCTAAGCACACAATTGTTGATTGTTAGAATGATGTAACTGCACCTGTCGTTTGTATAATTTAATAAATTAAAATTACGTATGCGTTTGTAAATATTGAATTAAGTAATGTTAAGATACGCGCTGTGACTACTGTGGATGTGTGAATGTCGTAAGCCCAATTGCTCAAAGCCCAAAGTAAGTTCCAAATACAATTTTATTGTACTGTCTTAGAAACTTTTTAACGCGATTTAGAGAAGGTTAGTAGGCTTAATAGAGAGAGCTTCGTTTTTATAAACGAATCTTTAATGTTTGGCAACTGAAAACGCTTATAGAAAACTCGAAATCAATTGATATAGATGGGCTAGAAAATAGTTGTAGTGTTTAGGCTACAAAACATTTCAGATTGACAACAAAAGTAATATTAACTGATACAAAATAAACTGCAATTTAGCCTTAGACATAGTAGAAATAAAACAATTATTTACTCGTATAAACGATATTAAAGAGAGTTGCCAAAACCTAGTCATGTATTCATTCTGAAATATAAGTCTTTTGTTTACTATAGAAGTTAATTGTTTACCCCCTAGTGTCTAAATACCAATAGGTGAAATCTAGTGTTCTATAGATGTAATGTAATGCTAATGCCCCAGAATTTCCATCCGTCTAATCTATCGTCTCCTGTATCTATTGTATGTAAATCGTAGTCTCTTATCGTAGTTGTTTATATAATTTCGTATCTATATTGTCTATCAATGACATAATTGACCTCAATATATTATAAAGATCATAAATTATTAATATCGTAATGCACTTTTGATATATACATGTTTAGACGGAAATTTAATTAAACTAATGTAATAGAAATATAACGTTTATAATTCCTGTATTTATCAGTATAGAATTCTTATAATTAGTTTTTTTAAATTATCATTACATCGTTTTCCTTAGCCTTTGAATAGCGTGTAGGGATGCATACTTCGATATTTTCGAAACAGAAAAACATTGATGTACTGATGTCATTTTATATAATGCTTTATAGGGGTTTGAATTTTAGAAACGGTAATATACTCAACTTTTTTTTTGGTAGTATTCAACCTTTTTTAATATTTAATATCTTTAATAATATTACAATTAAAACTAAGATAAATATCACTAGATGGCGGCCCCATGTGCAATATTTTCAGAACGATACTATTACAAATAATAATTTATTGATCTGTTAATAAGTCCCCTTTATTTTTGCCATGTTGCATCCATATACCTACATACTATCCCTTACGTTTATCTCTTCTCCAGTGTTATTCTGTTAAACGGCCTTTAACCCTTTGTCATGGCATAGCTGTGCTGTTTTCATAGCATATATGTTCAATCAAAAAACTTATTTCAAAAGGTAATAAAGATTTTATGACTTTTAATTACAAGAAGTGATGAGTTTGTGACTATTTTTTAAAAGTATAGCATAGTTGCGCTATGTGCCGTCCCAAATATGTGATATGTTTGAGAATTCCATTCTATATCGAGTCAAAGAAATTCCTAACTATAATTAAAAGGAAAAATATTGATGGCAAAAAGGAAAACGCAATAACAAATGAGTACATTTAATTATGCATTATGTCATTGATTCTCAATATTCAGTAGTGTCATTAGGATTCGAGATGTGTGTGTTATAAACCTTTCGATAAGGCTATTATCAAATTCCATGTGAACATATTCCTCTAAAATTCTAATCTATTCAACTTAAACTGTATTTACGTTAGGTCCCTAAAATTCCGAGTGTCCTTAGAATGTAACACCACAATTTCTGTTTCTATATAAAAGTTAATGATAAAAATAATAAAGCCTTTAAGATAAATGTAACTTTGCACTTAAGAAAATAGATAATTAAATTTATAATACGATATTAAAGAGAGTTGCCAAAACCTAGTCATGTATTCATTCTGAAATATAAGTCTTTTGTTTACTATAGAAGTTAATTGTTTACCCCCTAGTGTCTAAATACCAATAGGTGAAATCTAGTGTTCTATAGATGTAATGTAATGCTAATGCCCCAGAATTTCCATCCGTCTAATCTATCGTCTCCTGTATCTATTGTATGTAAATCGTAGTCTCTTATCGTAGTTGTTTATATAATTTCGTATCTATATTGTCTATCAATGACATAATTGACCTCAATATATTATAAAGATCATAAATTATTAATATCGTAATGCACTTTTGATATATACATGTTTAGACGGAAATTTAATTAAACTAATGTAATAGAAATATAACGTTTACAATTCCTCGTATTTATCAGTATAGAATTCTTCTAATTAGTTTTTTTAAATTAGCATGACATCGTTTTCCTAAGCCTTTGAAGGAGCGTGTAGGGATGCATACTTCGATATTTTCGAAACAGAAAAACATTGATGTACTGATGTCATTTTATATAATGCTTTATAGGGGCTTGAATTTTAGAAACGGTAGTATACTCAACTTTCTCTTTGGTAGTATTCAACCTTCTTTAATATTTAATATCTACAATTAATATTACAATTAGAAACTAAGATAAATATCACTAGGTGGCGGCGCCATGTGCAATGTTTTCAGAACGATACTATTACACGTAGTAATTTATTGATCTGTTAATAAGTCCCCCTTTGTTTTTGCCATGTTGCATCCCATATACCTACATACTATCCCTTACGTTTATCTCTTCTCCAGTGTTATTCTGTTAAACGGCCTTTAACCCTTTGTCATGGCATAGCTGTGCTGTTTTCATAGCATATATGTTCAATCAAAAAACTTATTTCAAAAGGTAATAAAGATTTTATGACTTTTAATTACAAGAAGTGATGAGTTCGTGACTATTTTTTAAAAGTATAGCATAGTTGAGCTATGTGCCGTCCCAAATATGTGATATGCTTGAGAATTCCATTCTATATCGAGTCAAAGAAATTCCTAACTATAATTAAAAGGAAAAATATTGATGGCAAAAAGGAAAACGCAATAACAAATGAGTACATTTAATTATGCATTATGTCATTGATTCTCAATATTCAGTAGTGTCATTAGGATTCGAGATGTGTGTGTTATAAACCTTTCGATAAGGCTATTATCAAATTCCATGTGAACATATTCCTCTAAAATTCTAATCTATTCAACTTAAACTGTATTTACGTTAGGTCCCTAAAATTCCGAGTGTCCTTAGAATGTAACACCACAATTTCTGTTTCTATATAAAAGTTAATGATAAAAATAATAAAGCCTTTAAGATAAATGTAACTTTGCACTTAAGAAAATAGATAATTAAATTTATAATACATTTAAAGAATTCAAATTAAAAGGTCTACTAATATGCATACTATCACCATTATTGCAGTTTAAGTTTGTATAGTTTACTAACTAATTTACAATTACAATAATTTTTAAGAGTATGAAAGCATTCAAAAATGTTACATTTTAATACATATTTATTACTCACTTATCTTATTTAGAAGTTATATAATACACTCTTCGTACCGATTTTGAAATCAAAATTTCATTTATTAGGTACATTTAAAAATATATATATAATTATTGAAATTTTGATATATAAAGAAGCTACAAATACATATTTTACTTTGAAACTAGTGTGCATATTAATAGATCACTTCCATTGATTAAGTGTGTTCGTATATGAAATTTGACTTAAATATATATTATATAACTAAATAGGTTATATATATAATTTTGAGTTATCTTCTTTAATAAAATGACCGGTCGAATAAGGGCGAGGTTTCAATATAGATCAAAGAGGAAGCCGTAACTCGGTATACATACATTAAGAAGTTATGTTTATAAACTATTGTCTATAAACTATTAACGTATGAAATGTAAACTTTTTAGATTTTTTTGACATGTCGCATTCTGAGTCAAGGAAGATATATGATCATGTCAAATTCTTGAGCAAGTTTATATGAAAATTTGAAAATTAAAACAAACTGTTTTAACAAGTAGATAAGAATGGAGTAGTAATGGTTAATAGCTATCAATAGTTCTTACTTCATTAATTATTTTGTTTAGTTGGTAAATATATCTGAACGCATTTAATTTTTTTATCACAAAACTGATATTTTTGAATGAGAAAATCAACGCCATCTGTTGAACTCGGACTATAACACGTAGACAAAATCTTCGGACTTGGTCCTAGTGTTTATGCATGCTCTTTGGTCAGACCTCGCTCTTACTTCCTTTCTTTTATATTATGCACAAATCTTGTAAATATTTAATTAATATAACTGTAAGCACTATCTGAAATGTATAAATGTATGGTTGTATGAACCTAGGTGCTTGTGCGGAGGATTTCGTCAATTTGAAAATGTATAAAAAGTCTCCTGTGTCGTTGTAAGTTAAAATGTTTGCGCTTATAATAAGCTAGTCACTATAAGTATACCTCGATGTACTGACACGGATCTTATTATTAGAAAAGATAAACATGGTAAAACTGAATTGTGGTATTTTATTTGTTCATTTTCCTGAATAATATTATAATCAATCAATATTACCTAAATCGATCTAAAACCCTGTCTACTCTAACCTCAATTAGTACTACTATAGCCATAGAGACATCTTACCGATATTATGGCGACATTTCATTTTACCATTTTGATATAACTTTGTGGTCCAAAAACGACTAAATTATTAATACTGCTGTCAAATCCTCATTCTTTATAATTCATGCGTTGTTATTAAAGACATAGCAAAGTAGTTAAGCGAAATGAAATAACTCCATAATATCGGTAAGACGTCTCATCCTGTGGATAGAGTCCGCACCCCAGGGGTACGACCGGCTAAATTAGCGATGTTAAAACGATATATCCTTTCATGTTTCTACTTTGACATGTCTTTGGTCTTATATTTGATCAACTTCGC